CTTCGGGCCACCTGCGCAGTCTTTATTTTGGAATTTGTTTGCTTAAGCACGGTTCTTCTTGCATTTCGTTCGAGCAGGATTATGCCGTCAAGGCAGGATTGTTATTGGTTCCTGTAATTTGTTTGGTCCAGTCTTCCAAATTCCAAACTTCATTGCCTTATGCTTGCCGGTCTCCCATTTCCTTCTAAGGCTTTCACTGGGCTCACATCCACTTGGGAAGTCAACACTTTGTGGAGGGGATGCACAAATAGAGGTCCTTCATAGTAGAGAGCCTATCGCAATCAACGATATTACGTTAGAATAAACCTCATCACTGATCCAGACCTAGATTTGTTGGCAGTTAATTTCCCTCCTCCCCTCTCTCGCCGATGCCTTCCATTCGCGACGGCAACACCATGTGGAATAGTCGAGAATATGCTCAGCGGGTGTTTTTATATCGGCTGGAGTAACTTATCGCTATAGTGACATGGTTAGAGTGATACCTGATCACTCGACTTGGTTTGCTGCCGGTTTATATTCCCCTTTGTCTTCATTTCCTCCTTTCCCCCGTTCTCCAATTGCCACGCCAGCACCATGTGGAATGACCAAAACTGTGCTCTGTAGGTGTTTATATAGCAGATTGAGGATGTTATCGCAACCATATCATCACAAAACATTGATTGCAAAACCTGCCAGCTCCCTAGTTTTGTTAGCGGTGTTTATTCCATGAGCTGCCTTATCACTTTATCTTGACAGACGGACGTACATATATAAATACAAACCGAACACAAAGCTAGCCTTCAAAGGATTGACACAGCACTCCTTCAGTGAATGTAGCTGTGGACTTCCTTTGAGTTATCTTTTTTTGCATTTCTGATAATAAATCAGCGCACTTATTTACAAAAGTTCTCAGCAAAGTTGTTTTTTTTTGCAGATTTGTGGATCACAGCACCACACAAGCTTTGTCGTCGCTGCTCCTTCGTCTAAGGTAGTGAGTTTCTATTCCTGGATCTCATAATAGCGTGTTACTTGGAAGGTTTCTGGAGCTTGTTCGAAGTTCGTTATTAGAATGGTCACAAATGTTTAATCGATGCATGCTAAGGATTCTTGACATGTCTTCGAAGCAATTTTCCAAAAAGTGTCCTCAAACTGTTCCCTTTCACACTTCATTTCTATGTTTTCTTCAGAATTGTTCTGTCCCGAAGTCTCATGTTGATCTAAATGTGTATAAACAATGTGAGACTTCAAATATTTATTGCAAAAGACTCAAAACTTTCTACAAAAGAAATTGCAAAAAGTGTGATTTAAGTTTTGCAATATAAGAATTTGGCAATTCGTAATAACTTCGTATA